CCCCAGACATTCTCTGGGAGCAGCAGTAGGAGAGAAACGCTGCCCTGCATTGGTAGAGGGAGTTCCCTCTCTGAATGAAGTCAAAGAGCCACTCCCCATCCCTCCCCCTAATTAGCACCCCCCGCCCACTAGGTTCTTAAACCAGGCTGGCTACGGATGGCAGGATTGCTGGCTGTAGCTCCTCTTGAAGGCCGGCTAGAAAGTCATGGTGGGTCCATAGTGAGACGATCGAAAATGAGGTGAAGATAGACCCATTGAGTTAAATCGTGTTTTAAATGATATGTACTTTTATTTTATTCAAGTAAATACAGTAACTCAAATCAGGCTAAGCCCAAGGTTGTGAAATAGGGGGCTTTGGTCTGCCGGGATGATTCAGTTTGTTTGGGAAACTAAATGTTCCCTTTTGGGTCTTCATTTGCTCAGCAAACATTTTCTTTCCCTGAGTGGCAGAAAGAGAGCATTCACTGATTCTCAATGAAAAGCTTGAATCAATAATGGCTGATTGAGCGAGGCCGAGGTTGGCTAGGAGTGGTCAAAGGTGGGGAGGGAAGGAGAAAGGAAAGGAAGAGCAGGCCCCTTTTAGTGGTGGTGGGGGGCAGGGAGGTAGGGGCAGGATACCCAGGAGAGAGGCTTAGGTTGTGGGAGACTAAAACTCTTCCTCATCCTGCTGTGGCTTGAGGACCACACTCTGGTAGTCCTTGATACAGGAGAAGGCTGTGGGTGGGATCCGGCGCCTATCGATGAGGTTGTTTTCCAGGTGCATGGAGATGAGGTTTGAGTCCTGGGCTACCCGAGTGTCACAGACAGAATTCAGAGGCACGTGTCTGTGGAAGGAAAAACGAGAGACAGCTGAGAATGGGCAGGCATGCTGAGACCCAGAGAACATGACAGACACAGATGGGAGAAAGGAAAGAGAGAACGGACCGAGGGAAGAGGGGAGAGAGGGAGAAAGCAGGAGTAGCAAATGGTTGTGATTGAGCTGGGGGTAGGAGTGGCCTCTCTCTGCTACTACTGAGTTCCTTGAACTTGAGCTACTAGACTGGCCTTAATTAGGGCTGGCCATGAGGACCAGAAAAGGTATTGCACACATGCCTTGGTAGCACTTGACATAAGCAGAGACTTTGCAAATTGGATAGAGCCAGAGAGGGGACAAAAATGTGTGTGTGTGTGTGTGTGTGTGTGTGTGTGTGTGTGTGTGTGTGTGTACATACTCCTATAGTCATAGAAAGGAGTAGCCTGACCCAGGCCCTTAGTATTGGATATCAGGCCCAGAACATTCCTCTCCTCTTGGGTCAAACTCATGTCTCTATGCTCTGATAGTTTGCCAGTGCTA